CCATTGGCCCCCGCAGGCCGCTCCCCGCCGTCCCATTGGCCGCGGCCGCTGCCCACGTGCCCTTGTTTACGCGCCCGCCCCCTCGGGGATACCGTGTAGCGTTCCTCGTTGCTACGCGACGGCGGCCCCTCCCCTTCCCGTAAATACAGCAATTATCGGCACGCAAAAATACCGTAATTATCCTCCTCCCTCAAACTTCTCGGCCAGCAGAGCCCAGTTTGGCCAGCGCACCCTCCCGGACACGGTTGTCACCGCGGCGACAGTCACCTGCAAACGAGCCCGTCTGTCTGCAGCCCCTTATGACACTCCTGCAGGAAGGTGGCTGCAGGGGGCGCTCCCCGGGCCAGGCGACCCTGCAAGGCCCCGCTTTTCCCATGAGTTTTCCCTGTGCCCGGAGGTCCCAGCCCCGCTGCCGGCGCTGGCTCCTGCTGCCACCTCGCGACAGGCTGGCCCCTGCCGGGCACCTGCGCCCAAAGCGTCCGCCAGTGCCCCGGGCCCCCCGCTTCTGCTGTGCATTCGAACCCGTGAGCCCTGCGGCCAAGGGGTCCCGCAGGAGCAGCCCCTGCAAAGTCCTGTGTTCCCACCCTGGGGACCCGCCGCCCCCCAGCATTCCCGCTCCCACCTCGATCCTGCCTCCAGCAGCATCGCCCCAGCTCTTCCAGCAAAACTGCTCCTCCTCCCGGCTGGGGGAGGCCTGCAGGGTGCAGGGACAGGAGCAAGGGACAAGCAAGAAACTGGGGTTCAGCTCCCACATCCACAGGCTCCCGCTCCGGGCTCCTCCACAGCCACCCTCGCCCTGGGCCATGGCGGTAACTTCATGCCCTTCAAAGCTCCAAAAATGCACAGCCCGTCCCCAAGAGCACGGCTACGCACACAGAGGCGTTGAACGGAGAAGCCGGAGCGTTTATTTGCATCCACGCTGGGAGTCTCTCCACATGTTCCTACCGCACATCCACGGCATTCCCGGCACCTTCGCCAGAGACGAGAGCCAAGAGGGCAGGGGGGTTTCTGCAGGCCACGCGCTCACCTCAGCCACGCAGCCGCCTTCACAACTGCAGCAAAACGCTTGGATGGAGGCCTGGAAGATGGGCCACGGGCTCCCCTTCCCGCGTTAACGCTTCCAATGGCCTTGGCAATGCCCTGGGCTGAGGGAGACTCGGCTTCCTCGCAAGGCAAGTGACTGCTGCAAGGGAGAAGTAAGCCCTGCGCAGAAAGCAGCATCCAAATGACAAGTCCCACCCAAGACTTTCCATGCGGAGACAACTCTCGGAGAAGAAGCACTTCCATATTTTCCTTTTTCTTTTTTTTCCTTTTTTTTTTTGAGGTACCCAAAGCACAAGTTTTTCCCTCTCCCCCTGGTGCAGAGGTGGGAATGATGGAAGGTTGCTGCTAACTGCACCGAAACACGGAGCCCTTGGCAGCCCCATCTCTGAAGCAAAATGCCACATAAGCAGGGAAAGGAAACGCAGACAAACACACGCTTCCAGCTAATCCTTGGAAGTAAAATATTCCAACACTGGGAAGACCTTTGAACCTGAGCGATCCATCAAAACACATACTTATAAAAATAATCAGCGAGAACTTCTTTTCCCTTATAAACCACAAAGTCAGACCGTCACACAATTATTTAGAGCATTAACATCTCTCTTCTTCAGCGAGGCACTCGAGGACAATTTCCATAGAAGGATCAGGGTGGACAGGCAGCGAACGGAAGACATTAAGCTGCTCCTTTGCAAGACAGTTTTCAGGCAGTAAAAATAAAGAACGTAGATCTGGTGTATATATGTATGTGCAGACTGTGCTTCAAGCTATGAAGACTGAATTCGAGGAGGGAGTAGAGGTCACAGGATGGGAATAGGCACCAAGACGAGCAGCTAACGCTCTGAAGAGGGATCCTGAGCCTTTACTCTGGTATCTGGCAAAGCTGCTGGTTGGAAAGGTTTAAGTTTACGCACAGGGACCATTCAAGCTTTCTAGAAAGCAAATATGACTGGCAGGAAAAGCTGCAAGACCCCCTAAGATGGCAAAGGGCTGGCTCACTTCAGTACAATGTTACAGCAAGGACTGGATTTCAGGGCAGAAAAAGGAGAGATTAGAGTTGACGCTGAGATAGCAGCACATTAGATCCCAGCTAGGCTGTATCAGGCAGATGCTACATCCTTGTAACGAACTGGGGTCTAGTGGATACAGGTCCCGGGTTTTCCTGAACAGTTGTGACGGATTTTGAGACGTGGACGCCGGGTTCCAGCTCTGCCGCTTCCTTTTGGCTTCCAGCCAGGACGGGGTGGGAAGCGAGAGCAGGAGTAGCTCAGCTGGGAGCTCCTGGGCACAGGACACCCGCACGCCCCATGCTCGCTGGTGCGGGGCTTCAGCAATTGCCAGCAAAATACCAGCCTGGAAAAGCAAGTCTGAGCACAGCAGCAGCATCCGAGAAGCCCCAACGCGGCTCCGGGCAGGTCTGACAAGGCAGTTTGAAGGGGGCTTAGAAAAACATCTTTCATATGTTTGGCACCGTTTCCCTGTATGAACAGTGAGGTCCCGGACTGGCTCAGAACAAGGAGGTCATTTTTGCAAGGATTTCACACGCTTTAGTCAATCTGTTCAATAACACTTAAAATACAGCAACACGTTACCACCTCAGGCCAGGAGCCGCATTGTGATCAAGGAGCACAGCTGAGACTTGTAATACTTGGAAAATGCAATAAAGGCATCAGCGGCCAAAGAGCAGCTCTAGCCCTGGGATTTAGCTTAAATTAGTGCTGAATATGAGAGAAGACCCAGCTGCTCTTAGCTTTGGGCTTTCGTGAACACTCACTGGCCAGCAGACAGCTCTTAGTGCTGCAAGATGAACTCCCGTGCTGCCAAGGAATGTTTCTTTGCCTAATGCTCGAGGCTCTTCCCGCTCTCACAGTATCACTGCTTGCCCCTGGCACTGTTTGGATTTAAGATGCTGGAGCGGAAGAGAGGGATGCAGGCAGAAGGATGAATGGAGTGAAGCAAATACCTGCCAGGAAGAGCCCACCATCAGCACTGTTCTCTTAAGCAACTGCCTCCAGCAGGATTTGTTCACACCAGCACGCTGGAAAATATGATAGGATTTTCCGGAGTGTGTTAGCCTGTCTCATCACAGGTGAAGATCACAGCTTGGGGAATTCACCTTGATGCGATCCCGGCGACCACAGAGCCCACCACAATTCACAAGCACTGTCTGCTGCTCTCTGCAGGGTCCCCTCCAGCCAAGGATTAATGTCACTTGAGAAAAGAGCAAGCAGCGAGTCCTGCCGCCCTGCAGAAGAGGGCCACAAAGCTGCCACGTGAGCCTATTTACAGCAACAGCCGCACGGTACCACCACAGCAACGGCTCAAAAGGGGTCACAGGGAGCACCGAAAATGAAAAATCCTTTGCTTTTTATTGCAGGTTCAGTGTTAGTGTCTTGGAAAGCACAGTTGTGCCAGAGGGGGATATTGTTCCAACCCTGCCTGGCTTTGCTGTGCAGAGAAGCGTTCAAGGGAGGACCTAGATCCTCGTGCGACTTCCCACCGTGGCACAGTAACGCTCCCAGGCTCACCAAGCGCAAAGGGCAGCACGTGAAGCACCACCTCCTGCCCTGCTGAGAGCTGCCCGTGAACGCGCCCCAAGACCTAGACACGAGGCCGCGAGCAGCCCTTCACACGGCTGCCCCGAGCTGCCCTTTCTGCACGTTCTGCTACCCTGCCTCCGAAGAAAGCGCTCACTGTGCTGCACAAGGGGGTCGAGGCCTCCAAACTGGCACGTCTCTGCTCTGCCAACAGCAGCAGAAAGGAAGCCATTTCTTCTGCGGTTGCTCAGGCAGGTCACAGGCAGAAACAGAAACCCAAAGGCTGTTTCCTCCTGCGGTTCACATGCAGCAAATGAACATTCCCGGTCTCCCAGAAGCTGACAGTAGTTTTCCTTTTTCTCTTTTTTTTTTTTTTTAAAGAGAGCAAGAGACAACACTACAAAAAATAAAGGAATTTAAACATTTAAAGCCTTCTTATTTCTCTTTCAATTAAAGTATACGCCTATAATCCTCCCCACAGCCAGTGGCCACTTCTGTTCACCTATAAAGTGCTGGTTGAGTTGACTTTTTTTTTCTGTTGCATCTCATGGCTCAAGTCCCTGAAAACCTTCACCCTCCCTACAAGAATAAACAGTTGTGTTACGTCTATAATTTACGGTGTTGCCTTTTCATGCACATCTCCTTCTCTCACGGGAGCCTGGACAGGGGCATTGCCCGACCTAGTCATCAACAGTGATGTTGCGGAAGAGATAGGCCATGGACTCCCCGTTGTGGATTCGTCGGATGGCTTCAGAGAGGATCAAACTGATATCCACAGTCTTTATCTTGGGGCACTGCAGCTTCTGTACCTCATGAGGGACCGTGTTGGTTACTACCACCTGCCGATTACCAGAGAGGAGAACATTAGTTGTGTTGCTCATGGCTTCATCCTCATTTAACAGCAACCCGAGATTAAAACCACAGATCAGGTGTGTTTGGCATTTCACATTCCAAGATGAGGGCAAGAAATCCTTGCATGTTACAAGAAAGATTAAACACAACAGGTCTCCCCAGGGGCTGTCAAGGTGTCCAAGGGACCGACATAACCCGCACCCTGCAAGAGCCACCTCCATGTGGCCAATCAGATTTAGATCACAGGATCTGACAGGTTTTGAAAGAGCCACCTCCATGTGGCCAATGGGTCTGTTTAGATCACAGGATCTGACAGGTTTTGGTACTAAGGGCAAGGTTTGCAATCCTGTTCTAACACTGCTTGAGTCCATCAGGAGCTGCAGGAGGGAGGCAGAGAGAAGGCCTGTTTGGTGAGAAAGCAGTGACAGGCGCTCGGCTATGCAAAGGGACATGTCCAGGCAGGCACGACCCACGTGGGTGCGTTAGGGAGAAAACAGAGGGGAGCCCATCTGATCTGCACAAGCATTAATCACACCCTGGTTTTATGAGGAACCGGCTACCTAAAAGTGTCGGATGAAGCCAGTCATTTCAGACAGAGGAGGGAAAGCAGGGAAGGACCTCAGGCTCCGGGCAAGCAGCCAGGCCCCGAGCCCCCCGCCAGCCCTTCCTCCTGGCGCACCTCATCGATGGAGGACTCCTCGATGAGCCGTGGCGCGTCGGCCGACAGGAGCCCGTGAGTGGCCATCACAAATATCTTGTAGGCTCCTCTCTCCTTCAGGATCTCTGCAGCAGCTACGAAGCTCTCCACGTCATCGATGATGTCATCCTGGGAAGAGACAGGAATAGCATCTGGCCTGGGAATGAGGTATTCCCGGCCTGGGAATGAGGCCTGAGCCACGCCTGTGGGGTGGGAGGTATTGCCAGGGGCTGCAGCGGTGGCCGCACGCGTGACAGAAGCCCTCGGGCTACCCCAGCTCCTGCTGGGCTGCAAGAGGCAGCCACACACACAAACCAAGACTGCGAGTGCCTCTTCACTTATCTACAACCTCCCCCGAGTGCACAATACAAAGATATTGGGTCTTGGAAATTACTTAGCCCCAGTACAGGCAAATAGAGCTCATCTTCAGCAGGGCTTTTTTTTTTTTTTTTCCCTTGGGGCTAATAGCTGTATATCGATGGCTTGCACTGAGGCGAGCCCAAGGATGAGAACCTCAGCAAGATTTCTACAAGTCAGGGGATGTCTCTGCATTTCCTCGATTTGCTGCTCTGGATTCAAGGGGCAAGGAGATTTGGGGATTTACAGGGACAAACCGTGAAGCATCAATGGGAGGTTGAAATATTCAGCCAAAGTCCCCAGTAAAAGTGCTGCCCCATGTTCCCACCCCACCCCAGCAGTGCTTCCTGCCCTCCGGAATAGAGCAGTTATGAAGGAAGCTGCTGAGAAAAGCCACCCCAGCCCCTCCTCTCCATTGCACTCGTACCACAATGATGGCAATTCTTCCTCCGACATCTCCCACCACAGTTATCGGCGGTTTCTCCTTGGCCATCATCACTAAAGAAGGAAAAACAGGTCAGTCAGCACGAGAGGCCAGGCCTGGCCTACCCGAGCCCTGCAGCCATGCACGGACCAGGCTCGAGATGCACTCGAGAGCTCCAATCCTGTTTTAACCATCATTTTCCTTTCCAAATGAGTCCTGCAACTTAAAAACAAAGCGCTCTGTTTCCTCCACACCAGCAGACCCAAGAGCCCCCCAAGCAAGGAGGGTGCAGGACTAAGTGAAACAGCTCTCTGCCTCTGCGGTCATATCCGAAACAGGACTTGAGAAAAGGGCGTCCTGCGAGTGGGAGCAGCAAACAGGCTGCTCCCTGCAACACCCCTCGAAGGGTTTGAGCTCTCCACAGGGCAGGTTTCCATCCTGTGGCCTCCCTAAGCCACGGGACTGATTTCAGACTTGGACTCCAGTTGGTTATCTCTCGTATCGCAGAATTTGCAAGGATCCCTCAGAGTGTGCAAGGCCCTTAGGCTGCCTGCACAGACAAGTATCACTTGAGGGAGTTGCAGAAGCAACTTTTGAACTGCATTAATCAAGGCGCACGACAAAATCCCGTTCAAACCCAGGGCTACAAGCTCAACACGAGCAGCGCCTAGAAGCCGAAGCGCGCACAGGTGACCTGTGCTGGGTAAGTCTGCTTTTGAACTGACACGTGCAAAAACTACACGTGTGACATGATTCTATGATTAAAAAAGAAAAAAAAAATAGACAAGCTAGGATGCCCTGAGATGCAGATTCAGCTCCAACCAACAGCCATCAGTCTGGGCAAGCAGGTGGGGCTTGCTGCCAACAAGCCAAGCCTCTCAATTGCCAGATTGCACGAGTTTATAAAGCAAACACGGTACAAAAACTCTCCGTGTGGCAAGGAGATAGTGGGGGCAGATGTATTTCACCAGCTGATAGTCTGGGCTGAGATAATCACTGCAGTGAAGGGAAACATCTAATGTTTTGCAACACTTTGCCCTGCACCTGCACCCCTGCACTTCAATGCTGTCTGAAGGGAGCGTTAACAAAATGTCCTCGTGGGGCACTTTGTACCTCTTCTCCTCCTAAATTCAGAGCCTGCCATGATCCTGGATACAAGAACTTCCAAATGCTGAGGAATTTTGGACATATTACGAAGCTTTTTTTTTTTCCTCCTCCTTTAAAATAACCTATTTCCACATAATACTGAAGCAGCATGAAATTAGATGCCATCGCCCAGCAAAAAGCCTGTCTGGACATTGACTTCAGTCCTCCTGGGTCACGAGAGCCCTGCATGAAACTCCCCATCCTGCACAGCAGGATCCAGGGCTATTCCCACAACTCATCCGTGGCTGGACCTGCCTGTAGCCCAAGCACAGGAGGGTGAGTCACACTGAGGGACATGATGAGAGCGATTACAAGGACCACAGATCCAAAGATCCACATTTGAGGCTGGTCTTCACATCCAAGACATGCTCCGCAGACCAGTTTTCCTTAAGCCTACCAAAAACCCACGAAAGGCATTCCATATTTCTGTTTCGACAGAAATTAACGTTCCTTGGAGCTAGGCTCTGTGATTAAAACCATAGCGATGGTGAACAGATCTTAATGAGATGAAATTCAGCACGATTTCACTGGCAAACACAGGAATTTTCACTGCACAGGTATCCTTATATTCCGTAAGAGACATGGACACAATCCTCACTGTACTCAAAGGCTACCACCCCAACTACCAGCACGAGCAGTGCTTTGCCTCTGCTTTGTGCTTTGCATCTTTTGTCTGCTTAAAAGTCGTATTTCAAGGCTGCTTTATCTTTAAAGCAGGGTAGGCAACACATCGCCCGACCCATATCCTAAAGAGATGGGCTCCCTTTTTCTTGTTCAATTTGCTCCGTAAAGAAAAGGAAAAAATAAAGGAAAAAAAAATAACCCACCACACATGAACTGCAAGGCAAAAGAATCTTCCCAAAACCACATCAAAATGCAAGAGAGCTTTGATGGCTCCAACACGACGAGAGCTTGTGCAAGCGCTCCCGAGGCCTCATTCTCGTTCTGCAGGATCTTTGGTCATCTTGATACGTGCAAGTCAGGACTGCTGGGAGAAGGTGCCTTGAAAAAATGATTCCAAATAAAAAATAACATTTTTCTCCCAGACACAAACCCTCTATTTCTTGACAAGAAGACAACAGCAGAAGAAAGCCACAGCTGAATTTCTGCCTTGGATGAGCCCTTGGATTATGTAAGAGTATTTTCTGGAGAGTCAGAAAAGATGCGGATGGTATTTGTAGCTTAAAAAAGAAAGAAAATGAAGAAATGTTCAAAAAGAACAAGTACCATTTTTATAAAATGAGACTAAGAATGCCGTGAAGAAAAAGAAACACCATAAATAACACACCACCACCCCAACCTGTGCTTTCACTCTGCTGCAAGCAACACACACCCCGGCGCCACGTGCTGAAGGTCCGAAGATCCCTGGCATGAAGCAAGAGCAGCCCCACGCACTTCAACCTGTGGTTTAACTAAGTGGGCCAAATGGATTAAGGAATGGCTTAACTTCGGAGCTGAGAGGTACCATGTGCCTCAAAATCACTTGCACTTGCAACAGACTCCATGAGCAACAGAGCGCTCAAGGCCTAACTTTTATGCCAAGAGATAGATCAAGCAGCACAGATAAAATCTGTAATTCCCAGTCTAAACGCAGAGGGGAGAGCAGGGCAGGGAACTTGAAACAGACCTACAGTTATTCCGATTTTTTGCTTCTTTGCTTCTTTCCCTGGAGGGAATCCTGTTGCAAAGGCTCCGATTGCTGCCCTTTCAGTACAGCACTTTCAGAGCAAACAGAAGCACCTGTGGCCTTTTTAGTTTTAAGCCCCCCAGATCAGAACATTGCCCCGGCTGCATTACCTGGACAAAATCCCAGCCGACACGCTACGCAACGCTCAGTAATTACAGGCACGTGATCCCAGGTAGAACAGGGAGGAAAGGTGCATGCCAGGACACGGGCGCCCGGCCGACTCGCCAGGAAGCTCCTGAGGAATTGCATGAAGCAGAAGCCATCCCTGCAGACTCTGCTCCGCTCCCTGGCTTGTCCTTCCAACCCTAGTGCCACCACCAGAGACCCCAAAACGGCAGCTCCTCAGCCAGGAGGGATGCTCCGCACCGATCCCTCTGCCATCAAACCTGAGAAATTGGGGGGTGCTGCTGCTGGGGCACAGGCAGGAAGAGCTGATCAAGGGTTTCATCTGAAGCAACATTTGGGGTAGGGAAGCAGCTCCGCTTGTCAAACGATTGAATTGGACAGAAAGGGAGGAATAACGGGGAGGAAAAGTACGGGATTCGCAGCCCTGCCATCCATAAGCCCAGTGGTATTTTTAGAGCCCAGCGCTGACTCAAAACAAGCTGCCTCCAAAGGTTAGAAAGCAGGAGAGAAAAACAAGTTTCTGTGGAGAGTTTTGGGCCAGCTCACCCCATAATCCACCCTGCATCCCCTCCCTGGCAGGCAGCGACCAGGCAGCAGTTGGGCTGCTTCACACCGGAGCCACAGGCACGCAAAAACGCGAGGTCGACTGTTGGGTTTCTGCAGGAGATAAAGAGAGTGGTGACACACAGTGAACTAATTCGTGCCTGGATAACTGAGGACTGAAAACGTCTTTCTGACGAAATCATAACTCAGTTGGAAGGGGCGAAATCTCATATGAGCTTCCACTTATGGGGCTCTCCAGCAACACAGGCTCCCACATTTGAGCTTCCTTCAAGTGACATGCCTGGAAATAAAGACAGTGGCATCAGCGCCCTAATACCAGTTAAATCGCATATTTTGGAGGGCAGAATGTCTCTTAAGACTGAAGTAAGAAGAAAAAGGACAAGAGTAACCAGGCAAATTCCTTTTTTGCTGGAAGTGCAGGAAGCAAATCCCTTGTGAGAACGCAGGCAATAGCAGCAAGCTCCAAACTTCCCTGCCAAGCCCCACCTGCCCCCCAAGGCACCAGAGGAATTTAACCAGCTGTGTAAGCACTGTTCAAGTGAGTTCATTGCAGTGTGCAATGACTTGGGCAACGTTGGCTGCAATCTCACTTGCCTTCCTCGCCACAACTTGCCCAGGATGCTCCTGTTGAACTCTGAAACACAAGACACTGCTAATAGGTAGCTCTAGTCGCAACCAGTAAAACCGAGGGTAGCTGCACGGCGGCGGATCGCTCCTCACCACGTGCTGCAACACGCTGTGTTTTCCACGGGGCTCAGTCATGCTCACTGCTCCCAGAATCCATTTTGTTCTATCACCATCTACCTAGAAAGCTAAGTCTTTCCCAAGGCAGGGCTTGGTTTTGACCATGCTGTACAGGTTTCCTGTTTTGTTTTGCTCTGTGCCCCCAAAAAGCAGTTTATCTACTGATTGCAAGAGCAGGGAGAAGCACAGCATTACTCCCAGAGACCCTGTTCACACTAGCCACAAACCCCACATCGTGTCAAAGCCGACGTCGCAACATTACCACCGAGCTCCCAAGATGAAGGAGACTTCAAATAGCAACAACTGCTACTGCTACAAGGGGAAAACGAAGGCCAGGTCCACCCTGCTGCAGCGGTGGTTCCCTCACTCGTTGCACTCTTTCCTGTTCCATGAGCTTTGCCATGGAGCACTTTAAGGCACAGGCTGACACTGCTGAGCGGGCACAGCAGAGGGGACAACCCTGATTCTCCGCGTTGGCAAAAAGAGTTAAATAACAACCACTCCTTGTACCTTCCCCTACAACTCGCTAACTTCAGCTTTGCCCAAGAGAAAAGCTGCACTGGTCTAACTGCTCCCAGGTTGCTTGTAATGATATAGCTAAACCAAAGGCAAATTTCCATCAAACTTCACCTTGTAGCCCAAAGACAAGCAGAGAAACTTAATCTTACGTGGCAGCTCCAGGCCAGGATGCACAGTTGCATTTTTGACCATGGGAGGCGAGTGACGACCATCATCCATGTCCTGCTCCGTACACTGGGCCTCCCCGTGTATCACTGCTAGGCCCAGGCGCAATCTCTCGGCGTAAGACTGAGCCCTGCAGGACAACCACAGCATGTCAGGAAGGTTCTTGCAATCTGGCAGAGCAGACCTCTCCCAAAACCAACAGGGCAAGCACAGACTGCACCTCTGTGGCTGTAAAAGGGGTCCCCTTGAGCGAGACGCTCACCAAAAAGGGCTTTTTATTCCTCCCAATATGCCAACTCTACCCCGTGGCTCCTCTGCAAGGCTCTCCTGGTGTTTTTCCCCATGCTAAATGTTTTCTGACACGCTCAGGTGCTGCTTGTGCAGCAAGTCAGACCCTGATGCTCCACTGAGCCAGCCAGATGTGCAGCAGCAGGAACTGCAGCGTTTACTCCCACAGGGCTGGGACTGCCAAATTCAGTTGTCCACCTGCAAGACTAGGGATGCCATCCCACTTGCCAGCCACAAAGGACTTACAGACCTGATTCCTCATCCATCTGGCACCCTCCACATTTTTGCTGACATTTACCCCATCAAGCAAGATTATAGTTAACCAGCTAGTAAAAGAATCTATTTACCTTTTTGCTGCATCGGGAGATTTGGCTACAATAACTGCATTTCTGTAGTCTGGAATCTGGATTCAATAAAGACAAAGTCTCTGTCAATTATTCAAGTCAGTCAGATACCCACTACATAATGAAGGGCGAGGGGAGACAATTTAACAGGACTTAAAAGGTGATTAGAGGCAGAAGCATAAATAGCACCTCAAATGGCACTGGCACTGCAGGGAGCAAGTTTCGGTTAAGGGCTCAAGTTCATCTGCTCATGAGCAAGAACGCAGCTTCTACCCAAGCATGGCATCACACAATGTAAGGTATTTGGGTAAAACATTTTCCCTCTTCCTTGAGAAACACCCTGTAGATGCCCTGGAAGAAGGGATCCATGGACTGAACAATTGATCCAGCCTGACAGTGCAATTTCTGCTTAAGCACAGGGCCAAAACCAGCACCTCATTACGTCAGGTGTACATTAGGACAAACTGATGCATACAGAACTAGAGTAACCTCACTTCTTCCTGTATATATTGCAGAAGGAAAGGGGAGGCTCTCAGGTTGTCTACTGGAAAGCTGAAGAAGCCTTGGATTTCCTTTTGATGAAGGTCCATAGTGATAATGTGCGTTAAACCTAAGCAAAACAAACATAACAATTCGGTAAGCAGCCTATCACACCGCTGGAGTTCCTTGAACATTTTGATTTTGCAGACTATTTTATCTAGTAGTCAGACTACTACACCATATAGAAGCCATGTAGAGCAGTAAAGTAAAAAGTATCAAAGAGATAAGGAAAAACAGACATGAAATAAAAGTTGCTTGCTAGACCAATGTGACACTTCTAGGCCACATCATCAGGTGAGAGCTACAAAGAAATAAAGAGTAGCTGAAGACAATTACTTCCCCCAAAGTCACTTGGATGCTTGCCTGGAAATCTCCAGATCTAAGAGAAGACTCAAAGGAGAGTCACCTTTGGGGACACCTGGCAGCAGAGGCCCTACAGAAAGCAGGCCTGCCCCCAGGCTCCCTGCGTGGTGCTCACCTGCCTTGGCTAGCATGGAAGCCAGCAGCTTGCAGACGATCGAGCCCCTCTTCCTCATCTTGCTCTGCTTGCTGTAGGGGAAGTAAGGGATGACCCCAATGATGTTCCTGGCGCAGGAGGTCTTCAGGGCATAAGCCATAATCAGCAGCTCCATGACCGCAGTGTTCACATCTCTAGAAGATTTGAAGAATATTTTAAAGACGAGCAGGAGTTTTTCAACGTGCTGCTGTTTCAAACTACACCCATTCACCGGGTGTGCACACACATACACTCCCCATTCACCATATATACCATTCTCACCAGCTCCTTCCATAGGCCACAACACATTATGATCAACTATTATAAGCACAGGTTGTGATCCTAGCACCCAAGAGCTGTGGCAAACTTTGATTTTTTTATTCTGTGATTATTTCCCTCCCTCACCACTCACACACACAAAAAGGGCATTTTTTAACATTAGATTTACTACAATATTTTTAACAGCTTAAGGCATATCACTTTTCCTTGTTTAAGAAACACTGTATTCTGGAGCTGTACAAACAGAGGCACTTCATTTTGGTGGAAGTTGACATCTTCCTGCTCCCTATTTAATCCAGAGATGGACGGAACAAGAACACACAAAGTCCCAAACGACTTTTCTTGGAAGGGAGAGAGGGGAAAGGAAGGGAAAAGCAGCACAGACAGAACACAATACAGAGATCACAGTGATGAAGTCGTGCAATAAGCTCCATCTTCAGCTGGTTTATGCTATGACGACCGGTGTGCCTCACTAGAAGAGCATTAATCTGCATTGGGATTTCTATTGGGAAGGGAGGAAAAAGGCTGAACTTTTAGATCCTTAAAGCCAGCATTGAGGGAGCCCTGAGTCGCACATGGATCTGCACCAAGACCACTTCAACCTGAAGAACCTGCGGAGACGCCAGCGGGACGTGCAAGGCTCCGGAATAAAGACATCCCTGCTTGGCTTTCCATGCAGAGGAGCACACGGAGCAACCCAAAGCTCTGCAGAGCTGCTGGGAAGCCCCCAAGGTGGCACCCTGGGACCCCCCGGGGCTGCCTCTCCCCGGGAGGCAGAGCCGGCGCTTCCCAAGCCCTTGGGTCTGACACGTGACGGACTCGGCCTGCTCCCATTCCCCCAGCGCTCCCCCTTCCTTGGGAAACCGCGGCGGGTCGGGAGCGCTCCGAGCCTCTCCGTCCGCCCGCTGGCTCCCTCGGCCCCGCGCACAATGCCGTTTGCACACAGGGAGCTTTGTTAGTGCTCGAAACGCCCGGCCAAGAATTACATAAAACACAACCCCCTGCCACACAGGACAACGGGCGAACAAAGCCCTGTTTCTTCCCCTGGCTGTTTTAGCCGTGCCAGCGTGGCCGGGAGAAGAGAAAAAGATGCTAGTCGCAGTATTGTATGGAAACAAAGCAGCCAATTTTAAACCCATTTAGAGGTCACCCCAGAAATTCAGTATTTTATGTCGCTGCATCTCAAATTTCTTTAAAAAGACTCTGCGGGAAAAAGGCTGCAGAATAGAACTGCTCCTGGGAGAAGGGGTTTGACTCCTGCAGGGCAGCTGGCGCGGGCGCTCCGCAGGGCTGGATGTGCCGGCAGGGATGAGCTGAGCAGATCTGCCCCTCCTGGCCGCGCTGAGCGGCTCCTCATGCCTCTGCCAGGGCCACTGACCTGAATCCAGGGCCAGGCTCGGAGCAGGGACTGAGTGGGGACAATAACGGCCAGGAGGGACGCCCAGCCACAGCATCTCCCAAGGCGGGTGCCCAGGACAGCGTGCCCATCTCACGCTGCTTGTTCCGGCTCTGTTCTTGCAGCAGGGAGCACGTGTTGCTTCTGGAGGGCTCAACACTGCCCAGGGCACCCTCAGCTCATGGCCACGGTATGTAGAGCCATCTCAGTATCCCGTGTCCTCTCTTTACAACCCTTCTCCCTCAGGCTGGAGCTCTCCCTGCTCCCTACCTTTGTCCAAGCCATCCCTGGAGATCAGCATCCTCATGGCAGAGCAGCTGGCTTGGCAAAGCCACGGTACAAGTACCAACCCATGTGGCACCAAAAGTCTTTTCTTTAACTTCCTTTAATTTCTTTACTTCTCACTTAAACCATCCAGTCCTCTGTTTTTCTGCTTTGCAGAATAGTCCACTGACTACATTAACACTGAGTAGTGTGTTTAACACATGCAGGAACATAAAAAGGGTTGAGTTCAGCCTGACCCTGCACCTAGGACACTCAGGATTTGGAAAACCTCTAGTGTAATATCTCCCAGCCTCTCTTTCCTAAGCTAAACAGTACTAAACTATCCATACATATGCCATTCTACACATTAGCAGTTCAGGATGATATTTGCCTGGTTTAGTTTTGCTATGCACCCTTTGGACTTGCAGTACCTGACTAGGTCTTTGCGCTCCCTCCCTGTGCATTTGGGATGCAGAACTGTGCATTTGCACTGCAGCATAACAAGGTTATTTCATTCTCTATTGCCTTCCTAACGAGTCTCAATATTCTACTGGCTTTTTCAAGTGCTACTGAGCACAGAAATTGTATTTTCATAGGACCCTGGTTTGACAAACATGATCCAAAACAGCTCCTCTTTTTACACTCCTGCATGAGGCCCACTTCAAGGATAGTAGTACGGGATGCCTCGTTAGTAGATAATTAACACAAGGACAGCAGTGCAGAATGTCTTATCAACAGATAAGGAACAAAGCAAGAAAAAGAAGGGAACTGCAACCAAGGGCTGGTGTGTGACGGAGATGTGACTGGATAATGTTGACGTAATCCTTTAGACTATTGGTTCATTTAGTAACTGCTCTGCATGCTTTTAGGCAAATAAGATATTGCATCTGGGACAGTATATATACGGTATATATTCTGGTATATAAGTTGCATCTGATGCTCTATAAAGGCTCTTTGGTTCATTATACTGGAGTCTGTGCAACACCTGCAAGGTTCTTGAAACCCAGTGCAAAAAAGGGAGATGTCCTTGAACCTGTTTTCTCTAAGCAGTGCAGCAAGGCACAGCTGCAGCTGGAGGATATGGGATTACACAGCACAACAGTAGCTGCTCAGAGGGTCTTGATCCCTTATACATTTTTTTTTCCTGAAAGACAAATTTCTTGGCAACATTTGGTTCAGATTGTGGAAAACCAAGGGAATTAAAAAGCTGAGAGCAATGGAGGTTCTCCCCTTCCAAAACTGTTGCTGGTTCCTAATACACGAAGTTCTCTCTCTCTGAAATATCTGTTGCATATTTATGCTCTCAGTTACAAGCTATTTCAGAGGACTCTTTTGCATGGGACAGCAGGATGGCACCACTCACCTGAAACACAAACCTGCAATAGAGGGTTTTCATCTTGCAGAGATTTCCTAGCTTCCTGTGGGAAGCAAAACCTGCAGCATCTCCCTGGAGAGAGATGATTTCCAGGAAAACGTCCCAGCCTTCAAGAGGAACTCTAGAAGGGAGGAAGCTGCTCTTATTGATTTCTTTATCAATAGGCCAAGCATTATCAAGAGCAACTGAACTTGAATTCTCATTCGGCTGTATTTTTTAGGCAAGCTAGGAAAATTCCTTTTTCCAGCATATTTGTCTACCTGCTTGAGCTCTGATATGTATTAACTAGTTCTAGGGACCTCCACAATCTGAGCAGAATTATGCTAAAAGGCATAAATAGCTTTTTTTAAGCTAATCCAGGAAACTGGACCCCATCAATCCCTCATCTTTGAGAACGGCATCGTCGCTACTTGCACCTCCTTTTATAAATGGGCTTCCTCTGCACTTCCCACTAACTGGCATGGACCACTTGGCCATAACTCAAGGGAAAAAACAACACCACTCCATGCACCAAATTTAGCTCTCCAAATCTAGCACAATCCCTTTAAACTCCTCCTCAGCCAGGCACAAGCGAAGTTCCCGGGGGTTAGCAGGTGCCTTTTTAGCTCTCCTAGCCTAGTTATTAGCAGCACTTTTCTTCCCTCCTATTTGGAGGCTAAATGTGAAACTAAAACCAACTGAAACTAAAAACCAGCAGGCACACACAAGAAACAAGAAAGAATCATGTTCTTGAGAATTATAGGAGTAGGGGAAGGAAGCTAAGGGCTTCCTCGCGAGTTCAGCTTCACATCCCTGCAGTGGAGGGTAACCCAACCTTGCAGGAAGGCAATAGCTGTTGGCTCTACTGCTTGGGAATTGGGAAGCAGAGGAAATTACCCATCGTGAGATGGAAGTGCCAGTCACTAAGCAACTGAACCTGCAAGGCCACCGATGCACCGAGCGGGGACGACGCACCGAGCGGGGACTTTTCACTTAGAGCCATTGGTCAGACTTGTTCTTGTCTGAAGGGACACTCTGAAGCTGTTCGATGGGCAGCTTCTCAGCTTGCTGTGGTACAATCAATCCTCTGGGAATGTTAACAGCTTAACACTACGCTGCATCTAGAAAGTAAGTCGAAGCATTGACAACTATGGAAAGAGCAAACAAAGAGCAAACAAACCTATTGGGACAACCCGCTGAACAAGAAATTCAAAGCATATCACAGCTATACGATTAAACCATGGGTCACTCACCTGGGGATCGTCTGTATAATGAAAATATCCTGTCCTCGGACTGATTCTTTTATTTCAACTCTTGTTTCTGAAAATGATAGAGAACAGTTGGGTTTACTCCCAAATGTCAGGTTTAAGGTGATTTAAGCCATAATTTAGCAGCAATTTTGCCCACCGGTCGGGAAAAAACCTGCAAGACTTGTCCTTGACCCTGTATGCACAAACACCCACTGCACACCAAAGCTAGCAGATTTTCCAAAAGGCAGCTCCGGGGAAGTGAAGAGCTGGCATTACATATAAATTAGTTATATTTACAAAGCAGAATGGGGCTGAGCAGCTGTTATCTTACGTGCAGAAGACTATTCACTTTCTAAGGGGAAGTCCATACCACGTGCTGGGTGCTGCAGGCTGCTGATACCATATCCACCAGCGAGCAACCCGAAGCACAACAGTGTCTAGGACTCACCCAGAGGGGACACCAGCCCCTTTGTGCCCTGCCTCCGTCACCTGTGTGCACACCTTGGTCACCTCACACGCTGGAGAGTCCAACACAGTATCAGCAACACAGGGTTCAAACAGGTAACTCCTCAACTTGCTGCCATGGTCAAGACGTTTCACTACTCATCTGGGATGGAAATTTAAGTCTCTAATGAACGTGCTTCGCACTGCCTCTTAAAAGTGCAGAGCAGCTCTGGGTGCCTTTCTAGCCCCTCGTTTCCCATGCAGTCATACGGCATGGGTAGGTGTAAACTGAAGGAGAAAAATACCTACTAGGCTACTGAATTCCAAGTTGAATTGTCATAGAATCACAGAATGCTCAAGGTTGGAAGGGACCTCTAGAGATCATCTAGTCCAACCCCCTGCACACGCAGGGTCACCTAGAGCACGTGGCACAGGACTGCGTCCAAGCGGGTTTGAAGATCTCCAGAGAAGGAGACTCCACAACCTCTCTGGGCAGCCTGTTCCAGGGCTCTGGCACCCTCACTGGGAAGAAATTTTTCCTTAAGTTCCTGTGGAACTTTTGGTGCTGCAGTTTCCGGCCATTTGCTCTAGTCCTATCAGTGGCCACCAGTGAAAAGAGACCAGCACCATCCTCCTCACTGCCTCCCTTGAGTTACTTATAGACACTGATTAGATCCCCTCTCAGCCTTCTCTTCTCCAGGCTGAATAGGCCCAGCTCCCTCAGCTCTTCTTAATGCACCCCAGGATCCCATTGGCCTTCTTGGCCACGAGGGCAACTGCTGCCTCGTGGTCACCTTGTCGCCCACCACGACGCCCAGGTCCTTCTCCAGAATTGTCTGGGCAGTAACCTCAAAGGACTCTGCTGAAAAGAGACTGATTTGCTGTGCAGTGATGAAGAAGGACTTCAGACCTTGAAGCAGGTGACCTGACTTAAAACCAGCCCCAAAGGGCACAAGTCTCGTGTGAACGCAGCACCCAACCCAATCATAGCCATAAGCTCCCAGGGCAGCTTACGTATCGCATGGCCCGCTCTGCCTCTAATGGCAACAGCGGTACCAAAAAACCTCATGATGAGCCCAGCACTGCAGGAGTACTCCCCAGAGCCCATGCAAGCCCAGCGGGAGGAAGAGAAAAGCCACATGCACGACCTGGAGTTTTGTTGCTATATAAAGCACTCAGTATCTCATGTGGCAGTACTTAAAGATTGGAGGTGAGGCCTACTCAAGGCTCTCATATGGGCAGCAACGCATATTTGGGGGCAACAGGATCTCAGGGGGGAAATAACCACTCCAGCATATCCCCCTCAATGATCAAAAGGCTCCTGTTTCCAATGTTTACTTTAACCTGTAGCAGCTGCTTCTGCTTTTAATCTCTTCTGCAAATAGGGTAATAGAGAGATCTCAAAGTGGTCAGTGACATTTAGCCCCTGAACTCTGTTGGCCAATAACCTTGCATTTAGCCCAGCACAGACATGTGAAAACAGACACCTGCTATGCTTAAAGAGACAAGATGAACCTCCAAGAGGCACTTTGGGGGGTTTATTTCATCAATACGTCCTGGGATCTGCGCTCCTTAAAGCAATAAGACAGATGCCTTGCTAGGGAAGCTGTGCGATTGCCTGTGGCGAGGGGAGGTCTGGGAGAAGGGGGTTATGCCCAGGTCGCTGGGCAAACATTTAGAAAGGAGGCAGCTGCTTTAAAACCTGCAAGTGTTTTGCTCAGCACGACAGCATTTAGGATTTTGTAGCAGCTACTATTCAAAGAGGGAGTCTGTTTTAGAGGAGAGTTGAGTGAGAGGCATGCAAACAAGATAACGGGGAAAACGAGGAACGCATCTAATTGCGTGTCCAAGGTCGGATGCAGCAGCTTAGCATGGCCAGAAGCAGCAGCAACACGATGGCTGAAAGCATAAAAATCCCCTTTTGTTCCTGCTGGCTCATCACACCCATTAGACAGGTTTGTATTTACATTACCTCGGAGAGGTCTGCAAGGAGTAAGGATTTGTCTTACCTCCATTGGTCTCCTGATACACCACAGATTTCCCCAACTCGACACCAAGACGCCTGGAGAAAATGAAGGTAAAAATCAAGGTGAGAAGCTCTGAATCCAAAGCGGAGATTGGACTGGTTCCTGTGGATGGGCAAAATAACGGAGCGCCAAGCGCGGTAACGGAGCGGCCAAGCTCCAAGTCCCCTCCTTCCACAGTGACCCTTTTTCTCCGAGGTCCCCTGGGTCACTTTGGCTGGACAGAGAGCGGCTGTTTGCTCGTGTGCCCTCAAGCCAGTCCCTACATTTGTGCTTCCTGCACGGCTACCTGGTCACCCACCATGTAACCTGCTCCTGCCTGCTTTTCCATCCCTAAGAAGCATTAACCTGCGTTCATCCCTTGTAACCAACCACCAGGCCCTTGGATCGGGACAAATCCTGCAAGAAGGGGAGAATTAAGTTATCCCAAGGGCTCTTACTTCTCCCTATCTGGACAAGAGCAGCATGGGAACCTGTGCTTCATGAGACAGGCAGCACAATCCAGCACATCAAGCTGATTTTCTTAGGAAAACACCTCAAAACTTCAGCTATAGCAGGCAAACAACAACAGTTTAGAAGTCAAAGGCATTTGAGTACATTCTAAGCCTTCCCAAACAACCAAGGAGGTCACAGGAATCATCAAAACCCTTCCCAGATGCTCCCGTCATTCCCCACTCCGTTATTTGGGGCTGGTAAGTGCTCCTAGGGCACGCAGCAGATGAACTAAGAACAGGCAGTGTTTTATGATTTATCTAAACCCACCTCTCTGGAGTTACAGCAAAGCACATCCTTCCCAGCTAAGGTTATGCCCGAAGCGGGAGCAGGATCCAGCGGATCCGTCCCCGTGCGCCAGAGCCAGCATAGCTGATCCAAGGAGCTTTGCTGCAAAATCAAGGCTGCAGAACTAAACAATAACGAGCTATTGAGACTTGATTAACGGCATCTGATTCACTTGTTTTACTCACCCTCCTTTGAAACCTTCTTCCTGAGGTAACTCAGCTGATTGAAGAGACTAAAACACCTCGGGTAGAGCTGTTGCAGTGTGGAACTAAACATTAACGAGCTATTGAGACTTGATTAATGGCATCTGATTCACTTGTTTTACTCTCCCTCCTTTAAAACCTTCCTCCTGAGGTAACTCAGCTGATTGAAGAGTTTAACCTCATTTTTTCTGATTTTTCATGTTGCTCCCTCCTCTTCCCAAACATCAGGCCTAGACCATTCATCTGAAAGACTCCGGCCCCCTCCCTTTTTGCTTTTCTTTTCCAGTTCTGCATTATGTAACGAGGATTCATTCTGAAAAGCATTTCAAAAGGCTCCACAAGGCAGACTACTCCCGCAGGTGACACTTCTGTACTTAACCATTCTGCCGAGTAATACAACGAATCCATGAACCAGCATTTAGAGGCAAACGTGCTTTAACTAGCAGCCTCGGCCGGGAGACGCCGCATCCGTGAGACCTGCGGGACAAGTTGCTGCAATTCCGCTGGCCGGAGCACGGGGCAAGTCCCCTCCTGGCATCTGGGGACTTCAGGGACCGGGTGCGGAAAGAGGATGATCTGACGCCCAGGGGAGGTGCCACAGCTCGTGTCAGCCCAAATCACCTTCTGCCTTTGCCGACTGCGGACGCGTCTGCCGGAGCTTCACAGAAACAGGCAGCAACTTGGGCATCTTCACGAGCAGCAGGAAAACCTTCTGGCCAAACATCTTAGTAAAGGCAACACGGCCACGAAACTGTCTTAAAGTCAAGTTTACCCTCAAAATCTCACGGTTAAAACCCACGGTGTGGGAACAGCAGCTGCATGCATATTTATCTTGATGTGTTTTTGCTGTCTAAAAGTACCCTGCTGCTGGTAGCTCAGACACAGCCCACAGGCATTTTCCGAGGGGACCAGAGACTCGGACACGGCTCCTCCGCCCTTCAGCAACGGGTGGCTTGGATTTTGAAGGCCAGGCCCTTTGGGAGCCCTCCTCATCGTGTCCTTTGAAGGAGAACATTAAATAAGAGCAGTCGCTGTGCTGTAGGTGCAGGCAGGCAGCTCCGCAGAACCCAAATTCATTCAGGCTTTGCCATTCTACACAGTTGGCCACGCACCCGGCGGCAGGTTGGGGCCCCGTCCCCTGAGCCTGTTTTCTGGTCACCAGGGCAGAGTGCAGGTCCTTTTCCCAACTCCTGCAAGCACGGAAGTCTGTGGGGAGCTTTCCCCAGGCACGAGCAGGCAGGATCTTTCCCTGTGCTGAGCCACAGACCCAGCCTCATACCTGAGCCGTGGCTGAGATTTGCTTTTCCAGGAGCAACGAGCAGGAGAGCTCCACGCTGGCAGGCTGCTGGCCCCAATTTTTGGACTCAGCCGTCGAGGAGCTGGACTGGAAAACGTGCCTGGAGTCACTGCGACAAGGAACACACTAATGCGATGATATATTTGCTTATCTGCCACTAAGCACTTACTTGGCGCACACGCGCGTGCTCTCGGTGCTGTCCTGCCTGCAAGCACAGCGTGCCAGGACCTGAGCTGCTCCAGCTCCTCTCCAGAGCTTGGGAACAAACTTGGGAACCCATGAGCAAGGCTATGAACCAAAACGAGCTGCGGTGGCAGCAGGGGGACTGCAGCGGGGCAGGCCACACTGTGGCTTCCACAGAGCAGCAACCTGGCTAGCTTGGCCACCCGCTGCAGCACTGGCCAGGCAGCGTGCAGGCCCGTGGGCCACCAAACCGTTCCTTGGGCATCTCTCACCGGTCCCGCCACGTTAAGATCTTAAAGCTTGAGAATCACAGACATGCTGCATGAAAACAGCAAGGGGGAAGAAATGGTCAATGACTCAGAGTTGCTCTCCCACGACGGCACGGCGCGTCCTGGGCTCGCTTTGCAGGAACAAACCTTCTGGCTTCACATGAGCTTCCTGCTGGGGAGAAGATCCCACGAAGGAGCGTCCGGCTGCCCTTAGCAGTCCTGGACCACAGGGCAGAAAAGCAGCCAAGGCGGGAGGGAAAGCCTCAAAACAGCCCATGCGGATGCCTCTCATCCAAGCGGCCCTCAGGAAACGGCACGTTCAGCACCACGTGGTGGAAAAGGAACAGCGGGGAGGTTCGGACACCCAGCGAGGACCTGCCCTGCGCCAGCGCGGAGGAGAGCCTGACGCGGCGCTGTCCGTGCGGTGCAGCAGCGCGGCGGGTCCTCTGCTACGGGAACAACAGTGCAGAAAGGGCAAATTCGCTCCCTGATGGAAAGGGGGACACTAAGCGGATCAGCATGGACACAGATAACGGCAGAAGAGGCAGCAAGAAGCTGACAACGCAGAGAAATGCATTGCAGATTGCTCTGGTCGGGCAATAAATCCCACGTCTGCACCCACTGTTGACTGCAAGTAGGAAGAGAGGCAGCAGAGGGAAGGGTATGAGATGGAAGTGCCTGTGGCTGTTGTGCAGGCTCGGGGCAGCAGGCAGCCTCACTAAAGCACACACGGGTCCCCAAGGGGCACATCTGCCCCCAGCCCCACTTCGGAGGGCTGCGAGTCAACCAAGACTTCAGCCTTTGAGGACTTCTCGTGAGACCTCAGTTTATCCACGGCTCTTAAAGGAGGGGGGCTGCATGTGCAACTCCTGTTGCAAAGTCCTCAGTTGCACGGGATTTGTGTCAAAAAGGGGATTTGCACAGAAGTCAAATAGCCGCAGCCAGGCTCCAAGCAACCACTTGTACCCCAGCACAGAGAGAAATCCCTGCTTCCCGTTGCCTCTCCTTTGTTTCCCTCCATCCCCAGGTCTTTTAGCTCCACACTCTCCTCTGGCAAAAGCTCCTAATGCTGATTTAGGCAGAGAGGAATTAAACTGACAGCAAAGACGATGTTTGCATTTGGCTTCCAGGGTGAGAGCAGAGCAGCATCAACGGGAGCGCTGGGAATTGCTGCTGCAGACGTGGGCAGGTCAACGCTAGAACAACCCAGGCTGCAGGTACAGGTAATGCAGACCCCGAACCCAGCAGAGACAGAGTTCCTCTGGCAAAAAAAGGGTGTTTTGGGTATTGCAGGTAAATTATGTCTCTGAGCAAAGGAAGCTTCACTGACAAAAGCCCTGTTACATGGTGGATTATCCGAGTACCACGGGGCTTCTGTGGATACAGAAACACTTAAGATGGGGAATGGTGAGGCCGATTTTGCACTATTTACAAAATCCCACTTGTTGCCCGACCCTGCGGGGACACGGGAGCACAAGTTCACATCTGGAAGCTCCTTTCTCCAAGCAAAGGAGGCAAAAATGCAGCCTGGGCTTGTTTTTGTTTCTCAAGGCACCCGTCTTCCGAACCGGGATCCACCCCAAAAGCTTCGTCCCATCGACCACAGCGGGATGCAGCGGGGACCCAGGGGCTGTTACTGCACCTGTCTCCCACCTTTTAGAAGGTTTTCAATGTCACCTCAGCGCCTGGTTCCACTCTACCTGCTCAGGGGTGCCGAAAGGACAAGCTTTGTCCCCTGCTCTCCTCTGGGCACCGAGCAGCCTCCACCAGGGGTTAACAGCCTCCAGGAGAGAAATCCGTGCACGGTTTTACACAAAGCAATGACTAGGGAAAAACTCCTATCGATCTGGAGTATCCGTCCCCGCAAACACCGCCTGGAAGGAATGATCCAGCCTGCCGCAGTGTCAGCGCGTGCCAGGAGGATGAGCGCAGCTTAACAGATCCGTCTTAAATTCACCGCCTAAACCCCACCAGCCCAGGAGCCACCTAGAGTTTAAGGAGCGAGGAAGAGGGAGGCTGCAGCTATTTTAGCAGAGGCAGGGGGTTATATCAGAGCTGGCTTAAAAATGCTCCTCTGGAGACTGTCAAAAACACACCCCACCATGCTCCCGAGGCAAAGCACAGCCACTTGACAGGGATTTTGTTTAGCTGAGCCCAAACTCAAGCGGCTGCAGGAGCCTGCAGTACTTCACGCTGTTAAAGCACGTTCACTGCCACCAGCAAGTCCTTCGCCCTCAGCTCGGCTGTGACATGACTTGATTTTGCCTTCACCTCCAGCCTGGGCTCCCCGCGCGCCGGGCTGCTTTGCTTCCGTTCCAGCAAATCCTTAAGTGAAGCCCGCAGCCCGCGGGCACGGCGCGGCATCGCTCCCGACCTCCTGGTTGGAAAAGGAAGGGAAAAGAAAGGGAAACGGAAAGGGAACGGAGAGGAGGCTTTTGGCAGGCAGGGTGCTCTGGTCCAACAGTGCTCTGATATTTTTAGCTCCCTTTGCCCCAGTCCCTCTCCCCAGCGTGACTTGAACGATGCAGTTTCAGCCCGGCATGTCTGCCCGTGTTCCGTGCTCCCTGCTGTCCTTCCGGAGCACGAGGCTCCTTCCTGGAGGCAGGAGACGATTTGCAGGCAGGAGAACAGGAACACCAGGCTGCCGTGATGCGATTCCCAATCCCATTTCCCTGCTCCATCCTCTCCTGTGCTCCGCATCGCCCAACAAGGATGCCCGACCTTTGCAAAAGCAGCTTGTAACCAGGTTCCAAGCGTCCCCGTTACAGCAGAGGTTTTCCTTCCATCCAGGAAAGACTTTAAAAAAAAATCCCAATCAATTTACAAGATACAAGCGAACATAAGGGTTTGTTTATTTTTCAGTGCTCCTCAAACTAAGCATCTTTATTGTTCAGGATATTCAACATATTGGGTTCTCATAAGCCAGCATTACGTCCCCACCCGGGCAAAAGCCAACATAAACAAAAGCTCTGAAAACCCAAAAGAAAAGTTAGAGCAACCATTTAGTCACTCATCCTCTAAGCAGAGGAGCCTGCAGAAGAACAAATTGTCCCGATGGGAAGTGTGCCAGCATGCCATGCTCAGCGCCTGAATCAACAGCAGATCTGGAAGTCTTGCACTAAACAAGGCTAGGAGACTGACACAGAACAGACTTCTGAAAGCTGTTTAATTTGCTCCTCCCCAGCCTCAGGATTTTTGTTTCATTTTATTTTTTTGAAGAGGATAAATCAGCAGAACTCAAGTATCGATTTTAACTCAAGAAGGGAACCTCCAGAGGGTTCTTTTAGCCCATCTGGTTATGTACTGAATATCCCAGCAGATCCGAGGGGTATTCCTAGGGCTTGCTTAGCTCTTCAGACCCTGCTCACGCCGTCCCGCACCCCTTTGCGCCACTGCCACTAAAATAACCCACCTGCAGCTCCCCTTACCCTGGCGTGACAACCAGCTCCATCAGACCTGCAGGCAGAGCAGCATCACAAGGGGCCCTGCTCCTAATATTGCGTGTTGTTTTAAAGTTCTTTTACTGCTTGGGCTAAAGTTCATAAAAAAAACTTTAAAAAAACCGCACAATATTAGATGACACTCACCCTCCTAAGACTGCTCCAACTCTACTTTAAGGTGCAACTGGCCTTCCCAGCAAAGTACGTGCTGGGATGCGGCACGGGGAAAGCCTGCAGTCCCACATCTTTTGCAACCTGAAAAAACAAGGGATTTGTTAAAAAGCAGCCGAAGGAGCCTGAGCTCTGCGGGGAAGTCAGTGCAAAACCGCAGCACAAGAAACAGCTGAAAATGCCACTGGGTTTTCAGGACTTTCTACTTTGGGAAAATCTGTATTAACGATTCCAGATTCTGCATCCTGCTCCCATGGAAATGCTCTGCGCCTTTCCATTCCTGAGCGGTCACTATTCCCATTTACAGATAGGGAAGCTCCAGATATTTAAGCTCCAGTTGAAGCAGCAGATATAAATCACATTATTGTGCCAAAATGATCACGCAAGCACCCAACTTTATTGATGCTACAGCCAAAGCCAAGACTAAATCTAAAGCTTTCCAAGTTTATCTTGTGAGGGGCAGGCCAGGAGCTCACAGCCACGATTCTGCTGCCGCTTCTCAGAGCATCGTTGAACACCCCAGAGCGGGTCAGGGTCCTTCATCAGCTCTGGGGATACTGGTGGCTCCCAGAAGCCAAGAGGAAATTCCGAGAAGAAATTCCAAGAAGAAATTCCAAACGTTTTTACAACCTCGCACCTACCACCGCTCAAGGGAGAAGCCGGAGCATGGACACAGCGTGTCACCCAGCCAGCCACGTGCCTGCTCCATGCTGTTCCTCGCTGTGGCTTTGAAAGATGATGGATTATTTCTGGGACAAAAGGCAGAGGATAAGGGAGGGCTGCTTATCCCTTCCGTCCCGAGGACTCGGAACTCAGCTACGCTCCGTGTCGACGCCGCAGGCCAGGCCTTTGCAAAGACACCTCCATCTACTGCAGCAAAACTCCAGAACTGCATCAGAGGAGGCAAAATGACAGGGAGGGAAGCCTAGGCGAGAAAAACCACCCCACAAAGCAGCCCCTTCCCCTGTCAGAGGCACAGACCCCCTTCCCCATCTCTCGCCTGCGTGCTCCTACCCCAGCGGACCATTAGCTGTGCTAAGGACTCAAGAGGCCGCTGGTTAAGGTGGCCCGGCAACTACCAAAACATCCCTGCAGTGTAGGAACGCCAACACCCCTATTTTCAGGCCCAATTTACTCGTTTCCAACTCAAACATTCCCTCGGAGGTGAACACGGGCGGACAGCTGCCTCTACGTGGCACCAAGGATGCTACTTGCGGTGTCACCAAGAAAAAGCACTGAGGACCCCTAATAGAGGGAGCAGTCGAGAGGCAGCATAAGGGAAGCCCCAGGGCAGCATCGGGATGGGGCAAACTCAGCTTTGCTGCTCTGTGCACTGAAATGCAGGAGTTTTGCAGCCAACTGTCCCACGTGTCGTTTAACGGGAGCCAACGTCTCCATCCCCGCCAGGGCAAGGTCACGCTCGGCCCAGACGGGTAGGCTGACACAAGGGACACGGTTTTGTCCCCAAATTAAGCTTTTCTAAGCATAGACTGCCCACCTATTCCACCAGATCCCAGAGACAATCCGGCAACGAGCTTTGGTTAGCGCAAGTGCTGCCAAGGCACCAGCTCTGAACATACAGGGAAGCTCTTGAGCAAATCACGTTGCAAATCCCCCGCCAAAAAAGCGGCGGGGAAAGTTCTGAGCATCTCCCAAACCAAGGACACGCTCCCTGGTACTCACTTAGCCAAGTTTCTCCTTCTCCCTTGCAAGCACCAGCAGCCACCAGCTGCATTCCAGCCTTTCTAGCACTGAAATCAGTGTGAAAGGCACAAGAAAGGGAGAACAACCAGATTTTCACCACCAAATCCTAGCGAGTTATCCAGAGGGATCAGCCACATGGAGAAGGAAGGAAGGACAGAGCTGCTCAGCACGGCGGGTTTGAGGCCTCCTCGGCGAAGGGGTTTGCGGCACGGCCACAGCTGGGAGACGGGAAGACGCGAAGACCCTTCGGAGGCAGCTCCGAACCGGCCTCCTGACAAAGAGGGCGGCTCGGGGAGGGGGAACGTTGGAAGAGCAGGAACTTACTCCGTGATCCGCCGGGCCAGCTCCGTGCAGGCCGCCGTGGAGTTCGCCGAGAAGACCCGGTAGCCGCTTCTGGCCGCGTTCATTGCCAAGGAGTCATGCGAAGCCCTTGGAGCTCCGAAAGGGGGGAACGCAGATTTATAAGGCAACAACAGCTTCCGTGGCATCCTTTTCTTCCTCCCCGCCGCTATCGCCGCCCCTTAAGGGGTGGGAAGGAGGAGGAGGGCAACCCTGCTGCTTCCCGGGATCTGCTGCTTTACTGGGATTGGTAAGTGCGAAGGGGAGATCTGAGCGGCCGCAGGGAAGCGCAGCGGCCCCAGCGCTCGGGGGACGGAGCGGGAAGGGACGGAGCGGGAAGGGACCGGGCAGGCCTCGGGCGGGCGGCGCTTTGCGGCTCCAAACCGCTCCGGGGCTCTTGTCCCGACTCAGCGGCACAGCCGGCTCCGGAGCACGGGCCGA